CTCTTCCATGCGCGCTTGCGGTCATCGAACGAGACCCAGAGTTTAGTCAATGAGGACACATTGCAGTACTAACGTTAGTAGCTAGTATCGACTAAAGCAGGACAACCGACGAGCCTGTCAACATGGTCGGGAGATGGCGCCGCGATTTTGAACCGAATTCGGACCGCCAATCAGATGGCGCCCTGACTTTTAGCCAATGATAACCCGAGACCACCAATCGGGAGCAAGGCCCGACCATGGCATCGTCCCAGCGCGTCCCGCTCTTGAAGCCCAAGGGCGCGCGCAAGCCGACGCGCGTCTCGATCGGGCCTCGGCCCAAGTCGTCGCAAGGTACGTCCTCGTACTCGTCGGCGCCATCGCTGCAGCGTTATCGTAGCACCGGCGTCGCAACCCAAGCCGGCAACACCAGCGACGGCCACGGACTCGCCCGTGCCCGAGACGCGGTCGCGGTCCAACTCGATTGCAACGCCAAAGGCCGCTACTGAAGCGTCGCACGAGAAACCATCTCCCGTCGCTACGCCTGCGCCGACACCCGTGGTCCCGCCGCCAGCCGCGAAAGGCCCGACGCGCATCCTCGCCGGCGGCGCCTTTACACCTGGCAGCTCATTTGGTGTTGGCAGTAGCCCGAGAGGACCCGCCCGCACGGCAGCGCCACGCCGGCCGGTACGATCTACGCTATTGAGCACCAGTGCTAACACGGTTGTGGCTCTAGGTCCCGATCGTGATCCCATCGGTGGGATCGGAGCCGTCCCGTGTCGCACCTGCGAAATCTGTACGTCTTTCTTCAAATAGTGTCGAACCACGTTGAACGATGACTGTAGCCCACGCCGGCGACGCCAGTGTTGGCACCAGGAACACCCGTGCAGAAACCCGGCACGCAGAAGCCAGGAACACGGGTGGAGAAGCCTACGCCTGTCCAAAAGCCGGGTACTCCTGTCCAAAAGCCGGCAACCCCCGTCTTGAAGCCAGCAACCCCCGTCTTGAAGCCCGGAACCCCCGTGTCCAAGCCGTCGACGCCCGTGTCCAAGCCATCAACGCCTGTCGCCAAGCCAGCAGCTCTCGAATTGCCGGCGGACGTCAGCACAAACTCGCCGACAACGAAGAAGTCCAAGTCGGCCAAATCAGCCAGATCGGACAAGTCGGCCAAGAAAGCCAAGTCCTCCAAGAAGGCCAAGACGACCAAGACCGCGACGGTCGCGAAAGCAATGGCATCGACCGACGCGCCGAACGCACCCGCGTCCATGCGCCTCCGCAGCTTGACCAAGCCCATGGTGGCGGCGCCAGAGCCCGTGCGCGTCGCGGCCCCTCGTGTTGAAACGCAAAAGAAGGCCAAGAAGGCAAAAGCACAGCCGTCGTCGGACGAGCCCAAGGTATGCAGCGGCCGTTGTCGTGAAAAGCAGAAGAGTCATGCTGATCACGCGTAGGCCAAGCGACCGAAGCGCCCGGCGTCGCCCGTTGAGGACGAGGTCATCGACGACGACCACAGCGACAGCGGCCATGCCCACTTCTTTGAAGTCGTCGACGACGACGATATGGATGACGCGGCGGACTTCAACTACGACGACGACGACGAAGATGCGCCGATCGCTGTACGTTCCTGTCGATGTCTGGATCTGAGTGAACTGTGACTACTGCCTGCAGGCGTCGATCGCGCGCCGAGGCCGGAAGACGTCGAGACGAGTGCCCAAGCCCTTGGCCATCGTACGTCTTGTCTGCTTCATGGATCGCAATAACGCAGCGTTCACGTAGGTCCCTGCGTCCCAGCGGGTGCTCGACTATGCGCGCGCGCTCCTCGAGGACGACGAAGTCCAGGTAAGCGCTACCTGTCTCATCGAACCAGCCTCAACACGATGGAAGTAGCCAAAGAACAAGGCCAAGCGCAAGACCGTCGCCAAGATGGCACCGGAAGATGTGCTCGAGTCGGAAGACGAGCTCGCGGCCGAAGTAGCGCTCTCAAAGATGACCATGGGCGAGCTCGCGATGACTGTGCCCCGGGGCGTGCGCGACGACGCCGACGACGAGGTGTCACTACTGTCCATACGTCGTCTCATGCTTCTCTAGGATGATGAGCACGACGACGAGGGAACCGGCCGCCAAGCCCGTAACGAGGCCCGCCCTGCACCGGCGTACGGCTAGTCGCAGGGTACTCTGTCATTACTTCTCGTCATTTAGGAGCGGTCCCCGGGTTGAGTTTGTCGATGGCCGCATCGTCGTCATTGAAAGCAGCTTGACGATCCACGAAGACGAGCTCAACGTCAACCACGACAGCGAGCAGGACGACGACGAAGAGAAGAAGAAGCGCCGTCAATCGGGCGGCGGTATTTCCTCCTCCTAGTGTGGGGAGACAGACTTACTACGTTTCTTGTAGGGTACTTGGTGGGTCGGCGCACGTCCAAGCGCTGGCCGCACTCGGAGACGGCGCAGTTTTACTATGCGCTGAGCCAAGTCGGCGCCGACTTTACGCTCATGTCGACGCTCTTCCCCAACCGGACGCGGCAAGAGCTCAAAATCAAATTCAAGAACGAGGAAAAGGTCCGGCGGAACCTCGTGGACCTCGCGCTCTCGTCGGCAGCGCGCCCACTGAGTACGATCGGCCGCTTCTTCACTCGACTGTATTCATATGGTATGTCCTTAGACGCCAACATTGCCGAGATGGTCTCGACCATCTTGGCCAAGGAAGCGGCGCGGAAGAAGAAGGCCAAGAGCGGCGACATCGACGACGACGACGAGGAGGCCGAGGCTGAAGAGATGCCACTGCTCTTTTAACATGTAATGAACCGAGAATCCTGCATGACGCTGGTATGCCGCAACTTGTACAGCGTGATGGAGCCTACGTGGCAAAATGCAAGGACCATCGAGAATCGCCGATTTACCGACCAGGCGAGTCGCCACACGCAACGTCGGACCCATAGATTGAGACAGCGCGTGCTAGCTGACGAGTAGGGCGTGGTGCGAACGTGTAGCAACGAGGCGACAAGCTACAGATGTAGGAAGAGCAAGCGTGTTCTTATTGCTCTTTGGCCTCAGGCACGACTTCGGACCGAAAGTACTGCGTCGGGCGCTTCTCTTCCGGAAGGTTCATCGTGTCGAGGATGCGCTGCTGCTGCTTGAGCTTCTCGGCCTGCGCGGCGCGGCACACGACCCTACGATAGCGTGAGGATCGACCAAGTGCAATGTGGGTGACGCACCACGACGCGCCGGCGACGCCAACGAACGAGTAGAGCGCGTAGTCGCAGGCCGTCTTGACCTGCTTGGTGATGCGGAAGCGGTGGAAGCCGATGCCGGCGCCTGTCGCAATGCCCCACAAGAGCGCCGACCGGAAGCACGGCTCGGCTCGAATGTCCGTCATACTGGTATCGGATGGCGTCGAGTTTGGCGTTGTGGTGGCGTCAAACCCACGTAAAATGCAATGCGTTATACGCAACCGCGTGAAGTTAAACGGTTTACCGCCGATGGGATGCGTTATTTCCAAGCCAGGATCGTCGCGTGCCTTCTGCGTGGCCGCTCGGACGCCACGACATTAAAACGTGCGTGCACGTAGCGCAGTAGATTAGGAGCTCAGTTCTTATTACTAGGTTTTTTACTTTTACTTCTTCTGGCGCTTGGCAGGGGCGGCCTACATAAGCGTCATGACATGAGACCGTGATCGCCCAAGGAAGATTTATTGATACTTTCTTGGGCGCGGGCTTGCTCGTGACCTTTTGGAAGCCCTTGGCAGCGGGCTTGGCAGCCGATGCCTTGGCCTTGATCGACGGCTTTGTGGCGATCTTGGTTACTTTCTCCTCCTCATTGTCATCGTCATCATCATCCTCGTCGTTGTCTTCCTCGTCGTCGCTGACGGGCGGCAGGCCTTCGTAAAACTCTTCACCAATGCCTTCGTCCGCGGCCTTGCGCTTCTTCGAAGCTCCCTCGTCGTCGTCGTCGTCAGCGTCCGAGTCGACGATTTGGCGGTTGAAAAACTCAAACTTGTTGGCGTCAAAGTCGTCCTACACGTCGCATGAGCAAACGCAATGCAAGCGAGATGCACAACGTACATCGCCCTTGTCGGCTTCGGCGTCGTCCAAGAACTTGACGTCTTCCTTGAGGCGGAGGAACTTCTTGCCCTTCATGTGCTTTTCGATCTCGGACGGGATCTTGTTGAGGACGAGGCCCGTCACGTTGCAGTAGAGGCACTTGGGCTTGCGCCGGTGGCTCACAATGTACGGCTCGTACTGCGCAAAGTCAAAGCTATACCACTCGGTCGCCTTCATGTAGCGCTTGGAGTTGAGGTGCGCGGTGATGACGTCGACACGCGGCGGCATCTCGTGGCCCGTCGCCGAGCACTTGACGCGCACGAGCTTGGCGTCATTGGCGCCATCGACGGTGACGAGCTCCAGCGTCTCCGTCGTCTCCACGAGCGTCTTGACCTCGTCGGCCACCTCCATCGTTGTCATCTTGTCCAAAAGGCAGAGTGATTGGATGGACCGTTTCGGATAATGCTGCCGGATACGGAAATATTGGTTTTGAGTGGCCGAGGATTTTGACCAATCATCGACCGCCGCCAAGATCGCCACCAAAAGGCCCCAGCGCAACCGCCACGAACGCGCCACAACAAGCGCTGCCAACCACATCTTATTTCACCTCTGAATGGCAAAGCCGAAGCTCGCCGTGGCGATACGCCCAGAGCGACAGGGCCACCACGAATGTTGCTGATGCAAGCGCGCGTGGTCAACCCGCATTCCAAGCGCCTCTAGACGCAAGACAACGTCATGGCCATCCTCTTGCCAAGAGGATGCGTTGCGTATCGGTAGTTGGCTCCTTGAAGCGTCCTTCAATTGAAAATCGCACGGCCAAGGGTCAGTAGTTTTAGCGGTCCTAGGCATGGCTTACCTGTTCGACTGCACGGCAGATCATTGACGGCCCGCAATTTCTCGCAGATTGGGAGAAACTAGGGAATCACTTTTATTCTATTTGGCGAGAATGATATAGACAGTGCTCTGGAGATGTCTTGTTCTCTGGGCGTTGCTAGTGCTTGGGTGAAGCTGAGCCCGCGAGTGCGCACCCCCCACATGAGTAGCATTTGTTGCCGTGTACGAGGGTGTGCCCAGAGTTGCACGATACCAATGGTATTTAGAAATGAGCCATTGACATTACTAGTCGAGCGGGACCTTGCTCAGCGTGAGCACCGCGAGGCTCTCGCTGTAGTAGCCCTCGGCGACGCGGGCCTGGAGAACATTGGCGGCCCCGAGAAGGAGGTCGCTGCACGCGTCGTCGACGACCAGCGCACTCTTCTTCATCCCATCGAGCTCGACCAATTGCCCGCGGCTGTTGCGGACAAACGCGATAAAGTGGTGCTTGACGTCGTCGCCGTTGGCCGCCTGGTCCGTCTGGCCTTCGTTCGCGTGCGCTTTGTGAACTTCTTGGAACTCGCGCATCGTCTCGAGCGTGAGCGCGCGGTCCGCCGGTGTCTGCGCCTTGGTCGCGTCGTAAAACTTGGCCAAAATCGAGTGTTCGACCAGCTGCAGCTTGTCGAGATTGTTGAGCACGGCGTGGATGCACGCGATGACGCCGCAGGCGTAGTCGAGCTTGGGCGTCTGCTTCATGTAGTAGTCGGTCACTGCTTCCGGCGCGTCGGTCTCGAGCTTCTTGAGCGACTCGAACGTCACAATGACGGCGGCGACCGGCCGCGGGACAAAGCCGAGGCAGTCCTCGTCGAGCCCAAAGACTTCGCTCACAAACCAGTCGCCGGGCAGACCGAGCGCAAGGAGGTACTTGGTGAAGACCTCTGGGTTGCTCTCGAGCGGCGGCCAGTTGAACGCTGCGTCCATGCTTGGAACTGGGGCGACGCGAGGGCAAATGGAAAATGCCACGTCGCTCGATCCACGATTTTGCGCGCATCGAATATCATTGCATAGAAAAACCCATATCGACCGTATTTTATTTCCGACGTGGATGATGGTCGTCCATATCCTTCCTCTCAATAGCCTCAAATCCCGCGAGCTTGCGACTGGGACGTTGCCATAGCGACGACGCGGGAGACAAGCGCATGGGCAATGCACCCTCGGACAAAGTTGTTAATACGCTCTGCTCGTGCCGACGATCTTCTCGCCTCTGCCACGTGACGGCTTCGGGAACATATTGCGATCTTCCCGACACTAGCTGCACGCAACCTTTTGGCGAGCGTCGGGAGACAAATCGGAGGGTGGTCGATCAGTATCGGCAGCCTATACAGAGCGATCGCCGAGGTCATAGCAAGGTACTGATGATGTGCAGAGGTGGACGCGCTTGCGTTTGGGTCGCGGCGATTGAATGCGTGGCGTGGCATCGAACGTGCACGACTTCGGGGAAAAGTGGGTGTTTTTAGCACGTGTGTCATCCGGATACCGGGGGCGACAGTATACAAAGTTCAAGATAACGCAAAGCTGTGTAGTCGCCATTCATCGTTTTTCAAAGTCGTCACGATGAACTCGGACAAGGCCTTCCAAGACGCGTCGCATGAGTACCTCCTCGCGCGCCAGCGCATGAACGAGAAGGTCAACCGCTGCAAGGAGATCGAGCTCAAGATGCAGCAGACGCTGCGCGAGATCCAGGCGGCCTACTCGGAGAACAACGGCGAGAGCCTCGCCAAGACCGTGGGCACTCTGCACCTCTCGCTCCACGAGGTGGCCGGCGAGACGGTCGAGAACGCCTTCATCAAGGTCCACGTCGAGCCCGAGTCGATCCCGGACTTTGAGGAGCTCGATGAGACCGCGGACGAAGTCAAGAACCAGGTTGCATGGACCGGCGAGTTCCCGGCCACGTTTGTCTTTGATGGCATTCAGTCCCGCGAGGCGATCGTGCACATCACGGTCGGCGAAGACGACGAAGAAAAGGAGCCCATCAAGGTCATCACGTTCCCGATCGCAGCCTTGTTCCGCGACGACATGAAGAAGTGGTTCCACCTCGTCGACGAAGTTGTCGCTGCCCTCGAGGCGCCCGCTGTTGTCGAAGAGACCGAAGTGACCGAAGACGCCGAAGACGCCGAAGAGGTTGCTGCCGAGGAACCTGCGACCGCCGAGGCGACGGTGGAAGCTACCTCGGAGGACGAGCATGTCACGGAAGCTGGCGAGCCGTCGTCGGACAAGGTTGACACGACGGACGCCGAGGCCACGGAAGAGGTCGCTGAGGTCGAAGTTGCTGAGGAGGCTGCGACCGAAGCTGGCGAGACCACGGAGAAGGAAACCACGAACGAAGAAGTGGTTGAAGAAGCCGCTGCCGGCGAGCAGGAAGCCAATGTCCAGGCGGCCTCAGAGGAAGTCGTTGCGGAAGAAGCCGCTGTTGTTGTTGAAGCCACCGAGGATGCTGCCGTTGCCGCTGACGACGTCGCCGACGAGGAAGCGTCGCCTTCGGAAGAAACCCACGAGGCTGCTGCCGACGTCGTCGTCGAAGCCGTCGCGGTCGTCGAAGAAGTCGTCGCCGAAGACACGTCGGCCCGCGTCCACGTCCATGCGTCGTTTGTCCTCTCGGAGATTGAGGCGCTTGCCCAGAAGGCGATCGCGCTCTCGAAGGAGAAGAACGAGATGGACATTGAGATCCGCATGTGCGACCAGGAGCTCTCGAGCGCGCGCATCCGCTACGAGCGCCTCAAGGCGAGCCAGAAGGCCGCGTTGGGCTCGAGCGCGGCGACGATGAAGAACAAGCTGAGCATCCAGCGCGCGCCGCCCAAACCCAAGTCGCTCTACGAGCGCGCGACCGCGGCCGTCGGCTCGACGTTCACGCCCCAGCGGCGATCGCTCGCGTGGAGCGTCACCTTCTTCGTCGTTGTCTCGGCTTTCTTCCACACCAACGGCGACGAACTCATCATCTAAGCGATGGGTCGCGTCGAAGGAAGCAAGGGAAATATAGATTGTTTATATTGCTAGCGTCGTCACCTTGTTTTGATCTCCTAGACGACGTTGTTGCTGGGCTGCACGACCGCGGTCGGCGAGCCGGGGCGGAACGGGAGCTTGGGCAGCGTCGTGGGTTGGTACTCGGGTGGCGCGTCGCCCGAAAACGCCGGGTGCTGATACAGCATGTATTAATAGTCGTTGGCTCAAGATGCAGAGTGAGATGGACAACGTACGTGGTAGACGACGAAGAAGTTGAAGAAGGCGTTGAGGAAGAGCAAGACCGCGTCGAGGATCGTGAGCCAGTACCCGCCCATCGAGAGCGGCCAAATGGCAATGCTACAGGACGATGAGCTGCCCGTCGAGGAACATGCGCTTACAAGAGCAGGAAGATCGTGCGCGTCTTGTAGCCATACATAAAGCCAAAGTTGTGACGCATGATCTCGTCCAAGCGGTCCGTGCGCAGCTCAAACCCGAGCAAGAGAAAGCCAAAGAGACTAGTCAGGCATGAGACTCAAGCGCATGCACATGGAAGGACCGTACATGATGTACGTGCTCGCGATAAAGGTCTGGAAATCCGTGACGTGGCCCGCGATCCATGACATGACACCGGCCGTGATCGTTCCAGCCGCGAGGACCACGTTGCCGAGCTGCATCACCCGCAAGATGGTCGACGAGTTGGTCTTCTTGATCCTACGCAGAAGCGAATGAGTGATAGCATCGACGCCGACGACGTACGAGGAGCCCATTTCTTCCATGAGGTTCTCATGGGGCGCCGGCGAGCCTGCAATGGGAACAGCGACTTGATTTGTCGGTGGCAGGCTCGTCGGCGGAATCGAGCCTCTCGCCGGCGAGGCAGGGACGACGGGTGTTGCCATCGGGACCTATCGCACAGAGATGCTGTCGCCTCGGGCTGGTCATCCTCCATGACGCTACCGAGGACGCGGGCTCGTAGGACGCGGCCTTCACCGACGGGTCCTCGAACGGGTTGCTCATGTTGCTGGTACCGTAGTCGCTCGAGTGCGAAAATGAGCTGGAGATTTCCCAAGTCGCCGGCCCAACGTACGAACTCTATTTTTATCGCCAAGATCCACCGCTCGCGTCGTTGATTGGTTAAATAGATGGCCGCTTGCCACCACAGCGGCATTGGATTGGCCATAATTCATCTGATCCGAGACGTGATTGGATAGTGTTCTAGCGAGCGGGGTTGGGACGAATTAACCATTAAAATTCGACGACGTCAAAGATCGCGGCCAGCCGAAACGTCAACCGCAAAGTCGCAGGAGGACCGTTCGCCATGGTCCTGGGGAGGCCGCGAGGGGCATGCAGCTGCATGCATGCAAGAAGAGATCACATGTATTACAAGGAGGAGGAGGAGAAGAGAAGGGAGCGACGACGAATCCATCGATAGTTTGATCATCTACGCCACGACGAGCAAAATCGGCCCGCGAGGATAACTTAGCAACAGCCGCCCTTGTTGGCGTTGTTGGCGCCCGCTGCACCAAAGCCCGACGGCGCCGCCGACCCCGTCATGCCCACCTTGATGCCATGCGCCTAGGCAAACACATGCAAATATAAGCTACAACCTCGCGTCGGCGCTGCGTAGTACCTCGTTCGTCACGTCGCAAATGCCGGCCTGGATGTTGGCATGGATCTTCTGCGCCGTCTTGATAAAGGCCTACAACGCTCGTTAGTAGCGAGGTGCAGTATGGAGCCCTTACGTCTTCGACGTTGGCGGCCGTCTTGGCCGAGGTTTCCAAGAAAATGAGGCCGTTTTCCTTGGCAAACACCTCGCCTTCCTTGTAGCTCACTGCGCGCCGGTGTTCCAAGTCCGACTTGTTGCCAATGAGCATGATGGCCATGTTCGAGTTGGAGTTTTGGCGGGCCTCTTCGAGCCAGCGCGTGAGGTGGTTAAACGTCTCGCGGCGCGTAATGTCATAGACGAGGAGCGCGCCGGCCGCGCCACGATAATACGACCGCGTGATCGAGCGGAAGCTTTCTTGGCCAGCCGTGTCCCAGATCTGCAGCTTGATCTGCTTGTTGTCGATGCTGATCATGCGGGCCCCAAACTCAACGCCAATCGTCAGGTCGTGCACGGGCTGGAAGCGCTTGTCCGTGAACTGCAGGAGGAGGCAGGACTTGCCGACGCCCGTGTCGCCAATGATGATGTACTTGAAGAGGTACGCGTACGACATCTAGCCATCCATGAGCCGACGCAAGGTCATGATGCGTCTACCTTGGCCGCGGTGGAAGTTTTGGGTTGTATGGAAATGAAGTATTCTGACTGTATCCGGATACGCACGGCCCTGCACGCAACCGACAACGGCGCGATCCAAGGACACTTCTTTGAGGTCCTGTGCTTGGCACCGCTCCAACTCCCTCGCTTTAAGGTCGCTGCGTCGTTCGGTTGAAGAACAACCCGGCGGCGTATCCGGACAGATACGCGGGTCTCTTGGTCGGTCCAGCAGAGAGAAGGTACGCACGTCGCCACATTTTATTATATTTTCTGGTCGTCGTCTGGTGGATGCCAGATTTCAGACGTCGCATTCTGGTCCAACGCAGAACAAGAATGACGACGAGCACAGCGCAATGTTGAAGCAACCGATCCCAGTCGTTGACGAAGCACTTCGATGCCTCTGCGAAATTGTTCAATTTCCCGTCTTTTCCAGGAAAGACGGTATTTTGTATCGGCGCCTGCGGCGTCCAAGCAGGCGCGTGGCCTCGCCTTACGTTGTATTACGAGAGATACAACCGCCTTTTGTTTGGCGTTGGCCCACAGCCTCGTGGTCGGCCAGTGCGTGTTGTCGCGCGGCGCCTTTCTCGGTAATTGTGGTCACAAAAGACGGGAAATTATCAGCCACACCGTGTTTTCATCCGGTTGCGCCGGATAAAAGGAATGCATGTCTTTCTCACCGCTTGTCCACAGAGCGCATTTTGCCATCGACCTCCCAGCCATGTCGCTTGCCCGCGCCGTTCGCCTCGCCCGCGTACGAGCCTCTTGGCCGCATGACATCGAGGGCTCATGGAACATGGTACTATGTAGCAGCCCTTGAAGCGCGCCTTCTCGACGTCCCCGCCGCCGGGTGCTAGCGCGGCCGACAACTCGTCCTTCTTCCAGATCCTCGGCATGGCCGGCGTCATCGGGTACGCGGCCTTGATGTGCTTTGAGATTGGCACTCATCATGGCTTAATGTAGTGGCGTTGCCTATGTCTACCGTGACCCGGATGTCCTTCCGCACGCCATCAAGCAGTTCCTGCCCATCCAGGAGCCGCAGGGCAAGAGCATGACGCTCGAAGAGTATGAGGTGTGGCGCGCCAGCCAGGGCGTCCCCAGCGGTTCGACGGCCATCACGTCGACAAAGAAGTACGCAAGCTCGTTGTCCTGATGAGCCATATGTCGATGGTTCTTGGACCTAGGCAATCGGTCATTGACGACGAGCCGGTCGTGGCAACTGAAGACGTGCCCGTCGCGGCCGCGGAACCCACCGTGAACCGCGAGTCGATCCTTAAGGCTCTGGACGAGGCGCGTGAACAGGAAGCGAGCTTCTTCGCCGAACTCAAGGCCAACCGCGCCAAGCCCACGGACGAAGAGCGCGAGATGCTTCAGGTCTTCAAGTCGGAGAAGGCGCGCCTCAAGAAGCAGCTCAAGGCCTTCCCGCCGCAAAAGTAAGCAGCCGCAGGCTCAACGTACAATCGTCTTGTGTCAACTTGATATTTCCTTGTATCTATTGATCAGAGGTTGGACGACATCGAGAGGACCATCGATAGCACGCCTTGCATGCCCCAGCAGCTTTCTTCGCGGGCAGCTGAGCCGTCCATTAGGTGCATCTTGCGGCTCGTCACAATTCCAGCCGTCGCTCGACACGCACGCAACCAGTGATCGGGAAGTTGATGTCCACCATCGCTGGCGCCTGCGACGTCCTGCACCTGCAAGGAGCTAAGATATTGCCACCGTGGCCAATGTTTGCGGGCAGTAGCGAGGCAGTAGACGAATGCCCGGCTTCAAGACGCTGTTAAAGAGGACAGTTGACGAAGCTGCCAATGCTCCGGCCTCTCCAAGCCCACGCACCGCAACCCCCTAGCAAGCCTCGACGCACTACGACACCTTCTCGGTCAGCTTGCAATGGCGGTGGCAAGAATGCGAGACACTGGAAAATTGTCCTCCCCACGGCGGATACCGGTATAGCGGATGGAGCGAATGGTTGAGCTTCGTAGCTCCTGCATGCTAGAAGTGTCGTGTAGTGAGACGCCAGCGCCTGGAAGCAATGCCCTTGTCATGGGCATTGACCATGACTGTGACGCATCGCGAGCGTCAGAGCTCGCATGGGTACCCGCCGTTTTCTATCAAGTTTGTATCAAGTGACGATGCAATTAGTGTGAACCGGATTGCGTCCTTGTCGCGCCACAATAGCTTCCTGGCCGCGGGTCCGCCCCGCTTCTCGGAAGCGTCGTCCGGTCGTCTCTCTCGGCAAGAAGCCATGCGGAGGTATGGCGGCTCGGAGATGCAGCGTTTTGACGTGGCACGTAGGCGGACGTCGGAGCTGCTTCAGAGTCGCCAGAGCATGACGGCCAAGTAAGCGAGAAGGACGAATGCGCCGCGTAATATGGCGACTATGTGTGAGCTTGCATCGATAAGAGCGCCGGAGTAAACGAATGCCATCGGCGCTGGTCATTTGGTTGGCAAGATACATTTTGAAGTGCGCGCACTTGACGTTCGCATCGCACCGGATTGGCTAGAAATCGAGCGCGGATGCTGATTGGCTGGCCGCAACAAAAAGCATGGCCAGCAGCGGCGAGCTTGCGACGCTCCAGCGGCTCTACGCGGCCCTCGAGCAGGTACGTGGACGATGCGGGGCATGAAGGTCGATGGCTCAAGCCGACGCAGGACCACGTGGAGCTCGCCCGGCGCTATGCCATGACCAAGGCCCGGATCGCTGTGGCGCAGGCCGAGAAGGCGTACGTCTCGCCCTCCCGCTGCGACCTTGACGACTTCTGTAGGCTGCTCGTCGACGAGCTCTGCCGATACCCCGCGAGCGACTTTGACTCGGACTCGGACGATGGTGATGACGACGGCGAGGTACGCAGACCGAACGCTGGCGAC